AACACCCAATGTGAAAACACAGCCCTCCCCAGATGCCCCCAGTCCCCTTCCCTGGCTTTATTTATTTTTTCACAGCAGGCTGTGCTTAAATGTAGCATATGACGTGATTTACTCATTCATTCTGTTTCTTATCTGTCTCATGACTAGAAAGAAGGGAAGCTTTGTCTCATTTCAGGCCCTGAATCCCCAACACGTAGAAAAGTACCTGGAACACAGTAGGTCCTCAGTAAATATCTGCCGAGCAAATGCATGAGTACTTCTGCCACACTCGAGTGCCATGACTGTAGGCAAGTCCGTTGTTTGGACCCAGCCTCTGAAAAGGGGAGGGTGACTGATCTGAGGGAAAGACAGAAATTTGCAGTCCAAACCTGTGTGGAGTGGATGTGGAAAGCTACCTCGCCCACCTCTGACCCCAGGCCTGCAGACATGCTCTTCTGTTCTCTCTTTGGAGAGCCACAGCCCCCGAAGGCCAGGAGGGCTTGGGGTTACCAGATGAGGGCTGAGCTCGAACTTGACTTCTGGCTGTCAGTGGCACCTGCCTGGCCTGGTGGGTAGAGTCCAAGCCCCTCTTCTCTGCCTCTTGTGCCCATCTGGGTGGCTCCTGGCATAACCCCTGACCTGGTGGCCTGTCAGTGAGCCCAACCTGGCAGCCCCACTGATACCATTGCCTGTGCTTCCCTGGCCCCCCCCTGGGGTCCCCTGCCTGGCCCCTGTTCGTTCTTTAACCCTGGAGTGGCGTTTGGACACACGCTTTGCAGGAAAGCAGCTATTCAGATAGTGCTAGGCTAACAGAAGGGCAGCCCGTCCTGGTGCAGGCTCTCCTGAGCACAGCCACACCTCACCAGGAGGCAGCAGCCCTTTGAGACCTGTGGTCACCCCCAGCCTGATCCATAGAACTCTCTGGCCCTCTCCCCTTGAGCCTGGGGCGGGACACACAGGGTGGGTGATGGAGTCACACCCCTGGGGGGTGTAGGGAGCCTGCTGGCCAGGTAGCCTCCCCTGCTGGTCATTCCCTCAGTGTTTATGGAGTGCCTGCTGTGTGCTGGGTGCTGCCACTGGATCCTGTGGAATCCTGTCACTATGGTCTGATGGAACAAGCAGGGGTTTGGGGACCATGCAGACTTGAGTTTGAATCTTGGTGCCGGCACTTCATTCATTCATTTGTTAAATGCATATTGAGCACCTGCTGTGTGCTGAGCAGAGGCCAGCAAGATCTCTTTAGAAGCTTATGGTCAGGTGTGGCTCAGACAGTCTCTGTGTGTTCTCGACAAGTCCTTTGATGGCTCTGACCTGATTTCTCCTCCCAGAGATGGGCAGATCCTGATGGGCTCCGTGATAAGGCTTGTGGAAGGGCCCTGCCTCAGTAGCGGGGGTTTCCATCTCCCTTTGGCAGATGTGAATCTGGACTCCTCTGCCACACTGCCGCAGGAACAGAGAGGCCCCTGGAACAGATGAAAGGCTCTGCTTTCCTTTGGGATAAGCCATCTCACCACCAACTCATTCTGCCAAATCCCCAGGACATCTGCCCAGAATCCCAGAATCCGTGAAGGGCGCTCACTGATTGACCGCTGATGAGTCATGTGACCTGTCCTTGCCCTGATGTTTTCCATCCCCACCCTTCCAGTGTTCTCCAAAGGGGCTGTTGATTCAAAGAAGAGAAAGCCCTGGGCTGGGCTGGGTCAGGTCAGTCTCCTTCATTCATTCACTCATTCATTCATTCAACAAATACTTATTCAATGTGTGCCAGGCACTGTTCCAGGTAAAGAGGAAACACCAATGAGCAAAAAGACAAAAATAACTACAAAATACATAAATAAATTTTATGGTACACGAGAAGCTGAGGAAGAGCATTCTAGGCAGAGAGACCAGCGAGTGCAAAGGCTCTGAGGTGAAAGTATGCCTGGTGAATTCAAGAAACCGCAAGTTGATGAGGTGGCGAGTAAGAGTGGGGAGGCCATGAGGTCAGAGACAGTGTGGGTCTGACGGTGTGGGATCTCATCAGCCACTATAAGGACTTTTTTTCTTCTTCACTCTGAAACTAGGGAGGTGGGGGGAGCCTGTTCCTGGCCCCCAGGGCAAGGGGGCACACACTACCATCCTCATACTCCCACCTGCCAGGTTTGACCTTGGCCTTGTGAGTGGCTGCATGGAGAAGGTGGCTGAGTCAGGATGTGACAGGGACAGTGGAAGGTCAGGTGGCACTGGGATAGGGTTGCTGGTCGGTTTGGCTGGGCTGGTGGTCCCCAGCAGGGTTTGGGGATTTCTTGTCTAATGGTGCACACGGCGGGCCTCTCCTGGCAGCAGCCTCAGGCCTGAGTGACCCTGCTTCCCAGGCCAGATAATTGAAAATAGAGACCAAGCAGCCCACATTTTAAAGATGGGGAGACCAAAGCCCAAAGAGGCGCTAGGCTGCCCTGGGTTCTGCGGGCTGGGAGTGGGTGCCTGCAATCAGCTGCTTTGTTTTTGCTGCATTCTTACCAGTTGAGCCAGAGGGCACGTTTAGGGTCTGTTTCTGGGAGAAAGGCCCGCTCTTTGCCCCTGGGTGGCCACGCTCAGGAGTCTAGGTAGGCTGTAAGATGCTCCAGGTCAGTGGTTCCCAAGCCTGACTGTAAGATGTTGATTCCTAGACAGAGGGAACAGCATGTGCAAAGGCACTGGGCACTTGGATTGATTAGGTCTGGGCTAGAGCCCAGGAATCTGCTTTTTGTTTGCAGTTGACACTGTACCAGTGGTAGGTTTGGGAGTGACTGTTAAGGTCACTGAGGTACTAGTGGCTTCTGTGTCACCAGGCTCTGCACACCCTTCAGCCAAGGACCTGGAGGCACAGCAGTCCTCTCAGGAAGCCTCTTCTTGCTCCCTGCTCCCCCCAGAGGGTTGGGCTGAGGGAGGCACTCAAGCTGAGCACAGAAATGTGCTGCCTGCTTGCCGCGGACCTCGCCAAGGAGCCGCCTGGCCTCTGGGCGGCCAGGCAGCGGCCAGGCAGCGGGGAGAAGCCTCCCCATGCCCAGCTGACTCGGAATTAGTGGCGGGGTTTGGGGGTCAGTGAATGGGGAGAGGAAGTTGGCGATCACTGAACAGCAAAACCTAAGCGTAATAGAGGTCGTGGGGTGCGCTCCTCGCTTCTTGCCAGAACGAAGAGGGGCCTGAGAGGGGAGCAAAGGAGAAAGTGGAGAGAGCGGGGTCTGACACGTCTGTGTGATCCCTGGCGCGATAGTCGGGTGGACGCGTGTGTGGATAGAAGGGTGGGTAGACGGAGAGACGGATAGATGAATGAATGAACGGCTGCGGGGGCAGGGAGCAGCCTGGCGAGGGGCGGGCTAGCGAGCGCTCAATCACAGCCCCGGGGCGCGGCGCCGCCCGCTGCGCTCGGAACCCCCCTGCCACGGCCCCGCCTGGGACGCGTAATTCCGTGCCCCCGGGCTCCGGAGCTGCTCCCGGTGGCCTTTAGCGTGCGGGCAGCGCCGCGGGGCGAACCTGGAGGTGCGGTCCTGCCTGGAGGCTCCCGGTCCCGCTCTTCTTTGTCTCAGCCTGGTCCTCCGCTGTCTCCTGGCCGCGACCCGCCTCTTCAGGCATCCCTCGCCTCTCGCTTCTGGGCTGCTCCCGGATCTCCGAGTCTCAGTCCCCGCTGCTCCCAGCGCATAGGTGTCTCCCCAGCCCAGTTGGGTCCATCAAACCCAGTGCCTCTAGGACCGCGGGGCCGTCAAGTGCCAGGATCTCCAAGCTGCGTCTCCGGTGCAGGGGGGCGGGGGGAGGCGCGGGATGATGGCCCCGCTCGTCTCCGCCTTCTCTCTCCCGCCCCTCCTCCGCCACTACTCGTCGCGCTGCGCCCCGACCCCAGAGCAGCTTGTTCGCGCCTTAAGCAGCTCTTTTGCGGCGGTGCGATCCCCGACGCCACGCGGATCACCCCCCCGTCGCCAGGGCTCAGACCCTCCCGCAGAACACAGCCCACACAAGACCGCCTGCGGACACACACCACAGCCTCTCTCCGAACCACGGCCCTGCACAGGCGCACTGCCCCTACACGCACAGATGAACAGCCCCAACAACCGCAATCCCACTCGCAAACAAGCCCACACGGATACACAACACCCCTCAGACACACTCGGGCCCACGCAGACACAATCTCATATACACATGCAACCTCATACAGACACAGCCCCTCGGACACACAGCCCTACAACAGGCACAGTGCCACCCACGCAGTCACACAACCCCCCCCCATAAACAATCACACAAACAACCCCACGCAGGCACCGCATCACTCAGTTCCTCCGAGACCCAGAAATACATTCACAAGCTCGTAGCCAGACCCCCAAACCCCGTGACATTCACACGTAGGACAGACCAGAAATATACAGCCACATTGATACACACACGGACCTAAACGCACAGCCAAGAGCTCACCCACGGGCTCGTAAGTCACTGGGGAAATATTAAAGCGTTCCCTCTTTCTCCTTCTGACACGCGCGCTCGCGGGCGCGCGCGCGCACACACACACGCATACGGAGACAGCCACCCCCACCCCCAGTCCCTGAGCGCCTTGGAGCCTCCTAGCCGGTGACCCCAAGCCCCCGCGGTGAGAGCCGCGAGAGCGTCTCCCCGGCGCCCCCTCCTCCTGCTCCCTTCCCCGAGCTCACCACTCCTCCCCTTGCCTCCTCCCTCCCTGCCCCCTCCGCCTCCCCTCCCCCGCGTCTGGGGCGCGGGCTGCGCGCAGCCAAGCCCCCTCGTCGCGCGCCCCTCCCCGCGCGCCCCCCGCGCCCGCATCGCGCTTGCCGAGTGGATGCGGCCACGGGGCGGTCTCTAATTACCGCCTGTCCCCTGGCGGCCCGTGAATAATGGCTACTGAGGGCGCTCGCAGGGGCTGCTGAGAAGGAAACGCGGGGCGCGAGAGCCGCGGCGCGCGCGGGAGCGCGAGGGAGAAAGGAGCGAGCCCTGGGCCGCCGTGAGCAGCGGGCGGAGAGAAAGGAATCGTGCGAGCGCTCACATTTTTCTCTCCCAAGGAGCTCATCTGGCCGCCGCGTTCTGGAAGAGGCGAGGGGAGAGCGCGCGCTAGAGGAGGAGAGAGACGGCGCGGGGAAAGGGAGACGGCGAGACGCGCAGTGCCGGCGCCCGGGAGACCCAGGAGGAGCCCGCAGGTATTGTTGGCGGCAGAGCTTTGTGTCTTCGGGGGGCCGTTCCGGGGCACGAGGGCTCCCGGCGCCCCCGGCCCGCCACCGCGCTCGGACCTGCCCCAAACCCGGGGCTGCCGGCGGGGGTCACCGCCTGCCGCAGGTACCCCTCCCGCCGAGCCGAGATCTTGGCTAGAGTTGCAGATTTGCCTGTTTTGGGGTTTTCCATGCCGGTTGAGGGAATCAGTCTCTGGAGAAGGAATTTCTTTCCCTTTTTTTTTGGCCGCAGTTGGTTGTGCTGGGGATTCCGCCCTCCCCTTTCCTCCACAATACATTGGTGAGAGGTCTTGACGACAGTGGCACTGGCGGAAGGCAGGGGGCTGAGAGGGCGGGGCTGGTGGCCGCGGAGGGGAGGTGAGGGATGCCGGAGAAGGAAGGAGTTTGGCTCAAGTTCGCAGTCTGCGCCCTGGAACTGGTCAGGCCAGGGAGGGCCGTCTGCGCGCCCTGTTCTGCTCCAGGCAACCGGTGGGAAACTTCCCGAGCGCAGCCTCCCGGGAGACTCGGCGCCCCCGACGCCTCTAGGCGCTTCCTCCGGCCGCCGCAGCCCCTCCTTGCCGCCCTCGAGCGCTTAAGGTCGTGCTCTCCCCACCCCCGCCTTCCTCCCTCCCCCGGCGGCTTCCGGATCTGGACAGAGCTGGAGGAGCAGCTTCAAACACTTCCCCTGGAGACCCCTCCCCACTCCCCGCTCCAGAGCCTGCCCCGCTGGCCCCCCTTCCCCGCACCCCCGCTTTACGCGCGTCGAGTGGCCAGGCTGACAATGAAATCTCGCGCCTCTGCGTCGGTGGGCGGCCAGAGGCGGGGGTTGTAGCTGGGTTTCTCCGGGGGCTGCTGACCCCGGGCAGGGGGAGGGGGAGGGACTTGTTTGGGTTAGAGACCTTGACGTCGGATGGCGCCCTGCCAGGAGGGGGAGGGGTGGGGGTGCTGTGGAGGCCTGAGGCTTGCCTTCGTGGCCGAGGGTCGTGGATTCTAGCCCCTCTTGGGCTTGGTGATTGGCTGGTGACTTCAGGCACGTCCAGGGCCCCCCCTAACCCCAGCTTCCTCCCAGCAACTCGGCCTCCTCCCCTCGCGCACAATGCGGGCTTCAGAGGTGATCCCGAGGGTGATGTGTGTGTGTGACGAAGTGTTTGTCTCCTGCATCCACAGCAGACGCTGCTCTGGTGACCCGGAGATCCGGACGCCTCGCCCCCTCCCTCAGGGGCTGGGGGAGGGGAGTGGTGGGAACTTCTCCTTTTCCCCCTGGGGCGTGGGAAGGGAGTGCTAGCCCAGAGCGTTTCTGGGGACCGCAGTCCTGAGCGGGGGGCTCAACTCAAAGTGGGGGCCGCAGGGTCAGAGGTTTCTCAGCACTCAAAGCTCCCAGATCCTTTTGCTGCTTTGGGGGGTGGGGTGAAGGGCTAGTTGCAACGGGAGTGGGGGCGGAGGAGAGTCAATGGAAATCTGCCTTAATTGGATTCCCAGGCGAACAGCCGAGGGGGCTAAAGAGGGCTCCTCCCCTTTTTCGTCCGAGGGTAGGGAGCCGGCCCAGGGACCCAGCCCCGGTGGAGGTGGCAACCTGGCAGGTGAAGGAGATTCTCCCTCTTTAAAGAGGGGAGTCTTGGTTGGGGGGGGGGGATGTTTTCAGGCTGTTGTGGGGCTTGGTCCAGGAATAGAAAGAGTTAACCCTCCCCAGAAATCTGTCAGCCCCCACACAGCGGGGACACTGTGTCAGACCCTTTGACGTGCTAACAGCGTGACACTGGCTGACAGGAGCTAGCAGATTCCGTACCCTGTGCTGCTTCACAGGGTATGGAATCAGCAGCCGTAGCCAGACAGGACCTGGCTGGGTGGTGCCTTGTTCAGGGGCCTGGGGGAGGCGGAAATCAGAGTCCAGAGGGCGCCACAGCCAGGCATTGGCCTTGTGGCCCCGAGGGAAAAGGGGTTACATGCCAGGCCCACAGGAACTGGAGGGGGGTCTCCGCCAAAGCTGGGTGGCCTGGGGTTGGGGAGGCCCCTTGAACACTTTGCCCTGCTCGGCACCCCCAGGCTCACACCCACAGCTGGAGGTCTGGCTGTTAAGGGTGAGAGTCCGACCCACAGGGGAGGCTATGAGACCCCCTGCAGCAGGGGGAGGCCTCCGGGAGGCCACAGGGAGGCAGGACCAAACCGGCAGGACTGATTTCTGCTCACTCCGAGGGCCCCATATGGCACAAGCCCCTCGGTGTAGCTATTCGGGGGCTGTCTTCCTTTCCCCGACCCGAGTTCCCATTTTCCGAGGATCTCAGAGTGCAGGGTCTTGCACAGGATGTGCCCTCAGGTTTGACTGGACAAACGTGCAGTGAATGGATCAGTAATGAATGAATGAATGAATGAATGGAAGGGGAAAGTTTCTCAATTGGAAGCATTTAGTCATTGTTGTTTTTTTTTTTGTGAAATATATACATTTTCTGTATATACATTTAAAAATATGGTTCATAGAAAATCTGAAAAATAGAGAAAAAGAAACAAAAGGTTCCTGTTGGTCTTAGTGGGCCATGGCAGTGCTAATATTTTGATGTGTCTTCGCAGTCTTTCTGGACCTGGTGGTTGGTTTGTTTTTAAAGACCTTGCCGTCATTCTCTATATTCAGATATGTATCCTGCTTTCTTCATTGGCGCTGACAGGAGCCTTTTCCTGTTTTGTAACCAACTCTTCATAAACGCCAGGTTAATGTCTTTTCCAATGGGGTGGACGTACCATCATTTACTTAATATTCCCCTTTTGTTCAACATTCTGGATGCTCCTGATGAACGAGGTGGTAGTGGATAGATTTTTATGTAGAGAGCTTGTTTTGATGTTTAAGATGATTTCCTCAAAATGACGCCGCTGATGCCGAAGGCTCCGACATGCCTGCAGTGGAAGAAATTGGCTTCTCATTCTTCCCAGAGAAGTGGAACCCTATTCTCCTCCCCCCCTCACAATCTAGAACCTTCTATCAGAACAGAAAAGAGCCTTGGCAGTGAGTCCCCTGGCTGACCCCCTCCTTTGACAGAGGAGGAAATGGGAGTGCAGAGAGAAGTGAGTCCCAAGGTCACACAGCTGTCTCTGGGCCTTGCAGTAGCCAAGAACTGGCTACTGACCTGTCATTTTGGTTTCCACATCTGGCAGGCAAGAGTCCCTAGGGGTCTTTTAGGCTGACCTTGCCCATTTCACAGATGTGGGCACTGAGACCTGAAGAGAGGAGAAACACCCAGTTTGCCTCTCGTGTCACCAGCTGGAGCACCAGACAGGCTCCTAAGCCCATCTCTGTCACTCACACTTGCCGTGTCTGTGGGATCTGGGGCCACCTAAGTTACTAGTCTGTGGTTGGCCAGCCATGAGCTCCCTGTTGGCCCTCTTCACAACTTCTTTCTCTTTGTTGTACTGTTTTCCAGCATGAAAAGCCAAGGATCTAAAGCTGGTGGGGTGAGAGGGGTGGGGCTACTAATGTCAGAGGACCCCCGTGGTTGTGCCCTGCCCCCATGCCTCAGTTTACTTGTTCAGTGACCTAACTCTGAGTCTGTTCAGGGGCTGGGGGCAGGTGTTGGCAGAGATATCCACTGTGGGGGAGTGGGGAAGGACCAGCTCCATCGCAGCCTTAGTCTTAGACCAGTCTGCCTCTTGTCTTAGATCGACCCAGGAGGACCCCTGGGGAGGACAGGGAAAGAGGGAGGGTGAGAGTGAGAAGAGAGAGAGAAGGAAGGATAGAAGCAAAGACAGTGGGAAAGAAAAGGGAGTGGAACAGAGAGACAGGAGGTCAGGAAGAAGAAAATGGGGGAAGGAAGGACCTATTTAAGATAGAGAGAATAGAGAAAATCCCTTCCCCCAGCCTCACAGGGCACCCAGAGGGGAGGCTGAGGACATCACTCCCGGTGCAGGTTTTAGAGCTACCCAAGGCTGGATGTCCAGGAAAGGCTGGACATCAGAGTGGGTTCTGTCAGGGCTGAGTGGAACAGCTGAGTGGGGGGCTCTGGGGGTCCAAAGGATCCAGACGAGGCGGATGGCAGGGAGGCAAGACTTTGGTGGTGGCCTCTCTGTTCATGGGTTTCCTCATGGGGCAGGTGGCAGGGCACCCCTAGGTCGGGGCTCGGGGCCAGGGGTGCTTGTATGGGCGAGGTGATTGTGGCTCTGTGACTTCCTATCACAGGACAGGGACCTTCTGCTCCCCTGGTGCCAGCACGCCGGCAGGCCATCAGGTTAAAAAGCAACCTCCCATGAATGTGGACATTGGGGCATTTCTCTGGTGTGTCTCTGTGCTTGGAAGCATCCCCAAAGGCTCACGCACATCCGTGTGTGTGAATGTCTGCGTGTCTGATCCTGTTTCTGTTTTCTGGGGGCTCAGTGTGCCTCCAGTCTGTGTGTGTGTGTGTGTGTGTGTGTGCATGCGCGCCCATATCTGTGTGCCTCAGATCTTGTTTGTGTATTTCTTGAGGGGCCTGTGTGCCTTCCAGCTTGCATGCATGTGTGCGTGCATGCATCCCTGTGTGTGAGCGAATGTGTGTGCCCTGTGTGTGCTGTGTCTGTGGGTGTGTACACGTGTCTGTGAATCTCTGATCCCATTTGTGCATTTCCGGGGGGAGAATGTGCCCCTGAGCTTGGGCACGTGCGTGTTTGTCTGTGTGTCAGCACACACTTTCCTCCTAATGGCCCCAGGAGGGATCCAGGCAGCAGGCTTTTGTGCTGCTTTCAAGGTTGCGGCTGGGTGGGTGAAGGGGGGCGGCCTTCAACTGGGAGGGGTGGGTGGGGAGAGGCAAAAGAAATCTTAAAAGACCGTCTTCCCTCTGGTCTCCAAGGAGATCAGCCTGTGAAATGATCCACACGTTAATTAAAAACGATTATATCCTGATTGAGCCATTCCTGCTCACATCCCTCAGACAGGGAGAGGATGAAGCCTAGACCAGAGGATGCAGGATGGGGCAGGGTCCCACTGCAGGGCACCGCCAGCCCACAGAGGGGAGCAGGCCTTGGAGGGGGCA